GAAAAAGAAAGACAACTTATGTCAAAGTCCCCGAAAACTCCCTTTTTCCTCAATCAGCTCCTCACTGTGAGTGGTGGGATCCAACATGAACATCACATTTTATGCCAAAGTCACAATGTGCAGTAAGTGAACATAATGAAAAAGAAAATCTTAATTGATATCTTACAGCACAATATCAAACCTTGGGCACGCCGGCACTGGCATTCCCAAAAAAGAAGTCTTTGGTTCAGCTCTTCCTTTTCTGACAAGAAGAATGGTCAGATATACCACCTTGCCACAGGCTTGTTTGCTCACTGATGACCAGAAACAGCTGACTGGGGTGGAAAGGTTTGAGGGACAGGCAATCACAAGTAGATTTTATGCATGTTTGGTTTTGACTCATTTTTTTCAATAGACCTGCAATACATTTCTCAAAGAACTCAGACCTGCGATTGTGTTTTACAGCAACACACAACTCATGTTAACTTCTGACCTCATCTGTAACCATGGCAATACAGCAAAGTTTATACCTCATATGTTTTTGAGCGTGAAAGGCTGAATCCTTAGCTGTTAATTCAGTCACATCGCACATGTTGCAAATGAAGATTAGTGTGTTTCTGTTGAGTTTCACAACCCAAACAGTGTGAACACAGGCCATAAAAAAAGAGATTTAGGACCATAAATGTCACGTGTGCACGTGGGATATGTATGCTTTTTAACTGCTACCAGATGTAAAGATGGGTCTCATATACATCTTCTCCACAAACAGACAGACACACCTTGTCAGAGGAGCCAGCACTGCCTGGTAGAGCCATCTCTCTGCACACGTGTCTGTGTAGTGTGAGTCCTCCTATCTGTATGTGTGTGTGTGTGTGTGTGGGGGTGGGGCTGTTAATATGTCAATCTACCAGATTGTATGTTTGATAGCATAGGCGTACCGTGTACATATATGTTTGGAATTCACACACACACACACATCAGCCCACATGTTTAGCATTTCATTTATCATATTCTGTGCAGGGGAAAAAAACCTGAAAATTTCCAGGCACAGAATTCACCAACCCACAGCCTCAACATTACAGTTTGAGGTTAAAAGCCCTGAAGCACCAAACAAATCTACCTATGAGAAAAGAAGACTACAAGGGCGGTCTGAAAAACATTTGTCACCGCAACATTTTTGACTTTATAACATCCTTACTGCACACAAAAGTGTATCCAATCACCTTGAAGGAAAACTTGTACCAGGGACAAAAGTGGAAAATCAATCATTTCATCACAAAAATGAAGACAGGCTCAGATTACTGACCTCTGCCTAACCGCCAAAGAAGATAGACTATATTACCCTCCATCAGCGTCTCTTGTCCTCCATTTTCTCTTTCTTTTAGACAAATATTAATTTACATTTTAAAACATTTAAAATTCACATCAAAACCATCATTATTAGAGCTTCTCTTGTTAAAAGAAATGCACAAACTCCATTTTGTTTTCACAAGAGAAGCACAAGCCCCACATATCTGAGCACAATTGCACTTGACCTACTGGCAAAGTAGAAAATAGCACTTCCCTGTAGTTTAGGTGAGATTAACAAAATTGGCAGAGCATTCAGCCACATCCTGCACTGCTCCCAGATTCACAGTGAGACCCTGTGATATGAAGTGCAAGAGATGCTGTGACTGTAGCAGCTCTGACCGAGGGTTACTCAGCAATTTGTGCATTCTTCATCTTACTGTTACACTGTTGGCAGTGAAGGGTCAGGCTGCTGAGTGGTGGGTGTTGTCATCAGTGAAAGGGCAAAACAGAAAGAAAGAGAGAGAGAGGGAATCAGAGACAGAAGAGAGAGGAGGGATGTCTGCGCTGTCCTGTCTTATAGCAGGAAGTCACTAACAGCATCCTCCCTGCTGTGGCTTTCAACTAATTACCTACAAGGCCCTGCAAGCATGAGTGTTTGTAGGTGTGTGTGTGTGCGTGTGTGTGTGTGTGTGTGTGCATGCGTGTGTGTGTGTGCGTGCGTGTCAGAAAGACAAGATGTCAGCAGAAGTCCTACAGTTCAAAAGAGGCCTATCACCCAGATGCTAAAATCTCTCTCACAACCACCCACACACACACACACACACACACACACACACACACACACAGATGTATGCCATAACCAGAATTACTCCAGACCAGCTCTGACTGAATTCTGAATGTAAAACATTTTTTAATCCTAAATAAGTTACTGTTGAAAGCAGATTAAAAAGCAACAAATTTGAATTTGTGTAACCTTAGGCATGCAGTTGGCACCCTTGTGCCAAATACATCCTTGTGCAAAATGACTTCAGATGAGTGTAACATACAAGCAATTGTTTCCAATGTATAAGCTCCAAGAACACACTGATAATACATGCAACATAATATCTGTGTAACAGAGAAAAGAGCTAAGCAGAAAAAGCTTCTTTACTTGACTGACCAGAGCCTTTTTTAAAAGTATTCACTGCAGCATTTTTGCGAAATTGTTAACTATGGGAGTTTGATTGATTTCCTCAAAGAAAAAAACAAGCAAACACTGGTTTTTGCTTAATTTTACAGGGCTACCTCTGATGATTCCCCAGACTAAACACACACAGTTCATAAACATTTGTTCTAAGTAAAGAGAACTCTGATCATCCATACACAGACACAGACACAAATGCATATACACACACACCTTGTCAGAGAAAGCTGCAGTGCCAGGCAGTGCTGCCTTCATATGCATCAAGTCTGTGTGTGTGTGTGTGTGTGTGTGTGTGTGTGTGTGTGTGTGTGTGTGTGTGTGTGGTGTGCGTGCGCGTGCGTTATGTAGGCTGTCATATAAACTTTTTATGGATTCAATAAAGCTTGCAGAGGTGTGGCTCAAAGCAGTTAGGTTGAGTGATTTTGTGTGACTGATGGATGATCGTTTTTCTTCTTCTTCTTTTCAAATAGTGTTTTTTTTCCATGTCAATTCAATTTTGCACAAATTAATTTTAATGCATGGCCACTGCACCCCTCTTCACTGCCAAAGTGGAGAGAGGGAAAAAGCCAGTTTGGGTGTGTCAGCCTCTCCCTTTTTATCTTTCTGGTGGCCTCTGACTCTATGTGTGATTCCACTTTTCATATGGAGGTTGGTCATATGTGTGTATGACTGTATGTGCTGTGTTCTCACCGTATGAAGCTTGTCTTGCCAGTGGAGTACTGACCCACCAGTAGGACCATGGGCTTGTTGTCAAAGTCAGCATCCTCCAGAGCCGGGGAGTGGAACTCGTGGAACTTGTAGCTTTCCTCCAGCGGCAGGAGTTTGGTTTTGTAAAGCTTTTTCAGTCCTTCGCTGACAGTCTGAAAGACTTCTGGCTCCTTCTTCCTCCTGTCGTCGGTTCCAAGCCAGCTGAACATGGTTGCTGGTTGCTTATTATTAGAATAGTAAAACCTCCAATATGTAGAACTAGTCAAAGATGCAGTTTGTTGAGCTGTTGTTGTCTACAAATTTGTGATGTCCTTTAGGGATTGAATATTAGTTTCAATGTCAATCTGAAAAAGTGAGATTTCACCACATATAAAACAAGATGACCTCCAAATTAAAACTAAAGAGCCAAGAGCTAACTTAATTCAAGGTCCACCTCAAATCAAAAATGGTTCATTACATACATAAAAAAAAATGTATTAGTTTCATACAGGCTAGATTTAGATTAAATCTATTTTAAAAGGCTGTTTTGAGGGAAAAAAATGTTTGAAAAAAGTTCATATTTATATTTATAGATGAAATAACAGCAAAAGTCCTGCTTCCCTAAGTGGGTGGTGAGTGGTGTTGTTGTTGATGGTAATATTCAAGTTTGGCCTGATATTATATTAAGCCAAGTTAAACTATTTAAGATTTTGTCTCTGGTAGTGCCTACAATTAAAAACAAATCCAAACTGTTCTATTTATCAGAATTTAAACCTGACCCTTCAAATGCACTCTCATCATCCAGTCCATCGGTCCTCCAAAGTCCAGGCCACTTATGCTCCTGGGCCGAAAAAAACACTGCATTCAGTGAGTTTTGTTCTGTTTACCAATTTATATCAGTAAACAAACACTGCCCAGAAAAACCTAGATCATTCTGCTCATGCACAACATCACGTTACCGCTATTCAATTCCGTCCAAGAGCTAGCAGAGGAATCCCAAAAATGATGCACCGAGCTGCTGTCAGAGCTCAACCACCGTTATTGTTCAACTGCTCCCGCTCTTCTGCCAACAAAACAACCCAAACCTCCTCAGGGTCAACTATTATTTCTGTCGCTTTCGAGTCAAAAAATAAAAGCAACCTGTTTTGCTAGCGCTACGGTTTATTTTCTGTCACTGCACAGCGCTGGATGTAGCAGCAGCTGATGTCCTGCAGCTCAATTTAAATGCCGAGTCGAAGGAAACCCGAGCCCGGCGGAAGTGCCCAACGGCTGGCAGTCCGACCCACCGCGGTCCCGCCCCAGTGATGCGGGAGCTGAAGCCGGGCCGTGCGACGCCATGATGGATGAGGAGAGATGGAGACGCTGCAGTTGAATGACACCCCGCCACCTAGAGGTTAAGAAATGTAAAAACAAATTCTCTTTCTAAGTGAACAATACTAGTCGTATTTGTTGGTGACAACATTAATAAGTCTCAAATGTATTTGTTTTTATAACCTTTGTCTCTATTCAGAAATTTAGAATAAAAACAAACAATCACAGAAATGACTAGGCAGTAATAGTTATAATATATATAATATATAAACTAATTCTACTTACCTATATAAGTGCCTTAGAAAGTTTTGTCAGCAGATGATATCAGATGCAAGGTATCGGGGCAGAGTAATTTTAATGTGAAGTGTCCTTGCTTTTACTCTCACAGTAAGTTTCTTGATGGCTGTTTGCAATTTGTCCAGCAGATGTCTCTATTTACTCATTGTTTCAACTTCTAGAGAGGCAGGTGTCAGTAATAGAAGTTAAACAGTACAGAAAGGGGAGCACACAAGTGAATATTTTAAAACTGTAGATTTATCCAGGGAATTTGCAAAAGCTGGTAAGGGTACTGAAACTATGAAATACTGGTAAAAGTATAAGTGGCCTTTACCTTTGTAAATATAGAACAGAATAGATTAAACAAGTTGACTTTATTCTGTCTTGTGACATACAAAATTATGACAAACATATTACTGATTTATTTCCCATAGTAAGACCATTTTAACAAAATACAACGGCATGCGTGGCATCAGATTTTACAGTAGTTTCCATATGAGACTATGAGACAGCACAATGCTGATAACTGGACAGTGTTAAAATACAGCATGTATGTTTACAGAATCCTTCACACATCATTTTGAGTTGACATGCAGTCATGTAGGCAGAACTACGAACAAAGATGTAGAAAGAGGAACAAAATTAACAAGAGACCATAACTATTTCTTTCTTTGTTACATGGTGAAACATTATTTGTGTGGCATTCTTCTGAATAACAGAGGTACCAAGCTGAAGTGACAGTATTTACTGTGTTAATCACTTAATATTCTTGATGGTATTCAGAGGTGATAGTAGCAAATAATGAATTCTGATAAATTGTAGGTGAGGCAGCATCAAATATCCTGGCACACTTCTGAACAGGAATATGTTCGCAAAGTTCAGAGTAGGAACAAAAGATAATGCAATAAAATAACATTGACTGATTGAGAGAAGTTTGACACATACTGTTGGCCAGGTAGCTTCCTTATTAATTCAAGAGAGATAAACAAATAAAGAGGAAAGTGATATAGTTCTGTCTTCATCATATACTGAATCAACATAGTAAACATAAAGAAAAACTTACTTTGTCTCTGACCATCAGAATTTCCTTCATACGATTCTGTGATTGTGAATCAGCACAGAACTGATGCTACTGAGAAAATGAGGAATACTGTCAAAAGTGTATGGATGCTGGTTTTGGAGAACCATGTATCAGACCATGTCCCTGGTCCAGAACAGTCCATTAGTGCTCTGAAGTTTCGTGACCATGGGTGAACGTGTTTATGTTGCACAAAATTTAAAACACAGAAGAATACAAATACAAAATAGTAATATATTATTAATTATACAAATAAGAATACAAATAATAGTTTCCCAAAAATTGAGTGTGATTACTTCATAATGATTAGTGTGATTTGTGATAATAAAGCAGCAACATTCAGAGATATAAAAGTAATCCTACTAAAGTACTAAGTGCTCCTAAGAATTTGATATTATAAATTATTGGGGGTATTTAAAATATACCCCCACCATAGTATAATATAATCATATTTTTAATGATTTTTATTCTTAATGAATTTTATATCTTTCATGATATTAAATTCAAGTGGATAAGTGAGGAAGAAGAGCATTGTTTTATAATATTGGGGTAAATGTGTTGATGAATATCATCTATTGGTCCAGTGAAATCACCAAATCCCATTTGGTCAAAGTATCATCCGTCTCCGACCCTGTTTCTCCCCCTGTCTCCATCTCTCTAAGTGCCTCCGCCTCCTCCTCACACCCCTGTCTGACAAATACATTTTCCAACTTCAACTCGCTCTTCAGGGCATTCACTTTCTCCTCCTCTCCTCCCATCTTGTCTTTACTCCCTTCCTGTCCCTGCTTCAACCCACCCAAGGCTCCCTCCTTGTTGAACTTCATCGCCATCTCTGGCAGCAGTAGTTTCTTTGTTTCAGGATCCCAATTAATACAAATACTTCCGTCGTCCTCATCTTCATCATCTTCTATACCATTTGCTGTAGCTAGACTCAGGACAACACTATAGTCATTTGGTAACAAAACTGATTGGTCTTTGTGGGAGTTGGGGATGTTGTTGATGTTCTGGGAGGCATAAGCAGACATGAGGGCTACTTTCTCACTCTCACTTCCTTCCTCTACAGTTCCATCTATCTTTCCATCCCTTCTTACTCTGACTTTTCCATCCCTCTCCCCCATTCCTACCTTCTCATTTGTTTGTAGATTTGTTAAAGGAACACAGATGTCAGTTTGGGGTTTTTTGGTAAGAAATAAACCTGGGCACTCTCTGTCCTCCTCTCCGCTCACCTCTCCACTCACCTCTCCCTTCGTCGCTCCCTGAAAAGAAAGTAACGATCCCTTAATTTGGTTCACCAAAACTGATGCCCACGCCTGCGCCTGTACAAGTGTGCTCACCTCTGTCTGCGCATGTGCCTGTGAGTGTATCGGCATGTGTGTTTGCATGCATGTGTGGGTTGACTTCTGCGAGAGGTAGGGCCTTGCCTCAGGAGAGTCAACTCCAGCAGGGTGACCAACCTCAACTATTAATTTTTTCTTCTCATAATTGTTTTCTGCTTTGCATTTCTGGCCTTTACCGTTCAGGTTATTCCAATCTTCTCCTCTGTCATGCCTCCTCTCTCTCACTTCCTCTTCTCCTCCATCATTGATTTTAGGCGCTATCCCAACAAGCCCGTAGTCAAGGGACAAATCATCAGGCTCTGTGGGTGTTTCAGGCCTCTGGGGGGAGTATCTTGGAGGGGGACATGTGATGTGTTTCTTGGGGCTGGCAGGGTCTGATATGGCGGTGCCAATGCCTGATGGTGACTTGTTTTCGATGACACTGATGAGGATGAGGTTGAGCTTCTCAGGAGGGAAAGTCAGAGGAGTAAGGTGAAAAGAAGGTTGTTTCTGGAGATTGAAGGAGAAGGAGTGTGGCATTCAAAGACTGACCATTATGATTCAAAAAACATTTTTAAAATCGACAGTTCTTGTCTGACATGCCATGCAACAGTCAAATTTGGATTATTTATTTCTCAAATAGTCTACCAATTAGACACTGAAATTAAATCAGTTATTTAAGGGTTCCTCCAGTGATTTAATAGTGCAAAAAAAAATTGTACAGATATCCTGATTTTTAGTCTCTAACTCAAGTCAAGCTCTGGGAACACTGCATCCTATATTTTCTATTGTACCATAACAGTGTCTTTTGTTACAAAAGACATTATATAAGTGTTTTCACAAGCTTCTCTATGACAAGTAATCTGTTCCTCATGCCCTTTAAACACACAATTACCAAAAAGTCTTATAGAGTCTTATTTGTTGATACCAATATTACATGTTTATAGTCAAGCAACTTTTCACAGTGCGAGCGAAAAGTAAAACATTCTACATAGTGCTAGCTCTCTGCTAGTGGAACAGTGGGTGGCAAAAGGTTAAAAAACCAAGTCAACAAATTTCTATTACAATGAGGACAAAACTTAGACAATAAAATAGTTCACTTGCCAGTGTGTGTGTTAGTGCATGTGTGTGTTTACATTACCAGTGTATGTGGGCTCTCCTGTCCTTTCCCCATCAGGTAGTTACGGAGAAAGTAGCCAACCACCACGAGCACACATATGCACAAAGATGGAACAACAATACCCCAAACCGTCCACTGCAGCTGCTCAGTCACGGGGTCTGGAAGGAGACGGGAATCAGGAACGTGTCACATAAACACACACATACATACATAAATAGGTGTAAAGGTTCATGTAGGGAATACACCTTCCAAACCACATCGGGATTCACCGTAGAAAATTTAAAACGTCCTAATATCAAGCCAAAAGCAACACTATTTTCTTTATTGCCGTTTTGTAAATGTCCAAACTCATACACAAATACTTCTCAGGCGCAACGAACATGTTTAGTCACATTCCTTTCTACCTGTCAAACAGAGAGCAACATATTCTCCCTACCTTTAGGTGTGGTTATGCAGTGCCATGCGGAGGATTGGCATAGGATGGGCATGGAGACCAAACTTGCCTCAGCACGGAAGCAGTACTCTGTTTCATGCTCCATCCGCTGATACTTGTATGGACTAGAGACCACTGGGAAATGATGCTAAATAAACACATACAAGCACACAAATATCATATAAATCCATAACTGGTTCAGTGGTACAGATGAACATGAGAGCTTGATTTCATGCCCAGTCCGTGCCAGGAGGGTGGGCGAAGCTAGGATTTTTATATATTTCTACTCACCGTCTGGTCACGACGGGAATTGTGGATGAAGAGGCTGTAAGTCATTTGGGGGTATAATGCTGCCATGGGAATGACTGGGGTGTGGTTGTTAGGCTGATATCTCACAGGTCCCTTCAGAGTGATGATGGCATTACAGTTCTCTACTTCCACAGTAACCAGCGGCGGACCAAAACTAGCTGTACAGGTAGACAAAACAAATTTCTTTTGGTAGATGTAAAAATATTTTTGAGTTGATATGCCAATTCTGTGTTATCAAAAAGTTTGAATGTCACTTTAACTTACTGTCCGTCTTTGGATCGAATCTCCTCTCTGTCAAGGTCCATTTGGAAGATCCTTTCCTGCCCACAGCACGAACTCTGGCGTAGTATCCCTGCTCCTGATCCGACGTCTCACTGCTCAGATCGCACCATCTCCGCACTATATCAGTACACTGGTGCACCGCTCTCCAGTGCACCCGTTTTCCTTTACTTCCTTTCACGCTATGCCCGTAGCTGGGAAAGACAGAGTAGGCCCACACATATAAGAGGATGGCTGCCCTGAATCCCTGCACAAGCTGGGATACCAACAACCAATTTATTCAATGCCCCCTCACGCAAGGAACCTCGGGTTATATAGGCTGTTTGTAAGATCAAGTTACATTTTTTGCTCTTTGTCTGTAAATTGCTGAAGACAGCCTATATAAAAACATTATCTTCCACTTTAACCAGGTAAAGCCCAAGATAGTTACATTATGGCCAATGCACCATAAAGGAAATAACTTTATAATAACTTTAAATTTAAACTTACATGGCATACTGCACTGTAAAGTGTGTGTCTACCGGTGTGCCATTTCCTGGTGACCACTGCACTAGATTCATGAGATTCACTGAGGAGAAGTTGACGTTGATGGGGCTGGGAGGAGAGGAGGAGACTGAGGAGAAACATAACAAGTTTGAGAGTGGATGAGATACGTCACATACATTTAACATGAACTCATGTTTGTCACTATAATGTCTAGTAGTTTCAGGTTGTGCAATACACAAATTCCCCCATTTCTCCATCTTGCAGGCTGTTTGACTGATCCTTAAACTTCCTCTTGTGTTTTTAGTACCAATAAAATAATACCTCTAGTAAATACATCACATAAAAAGTAATGGGCTATAACCAAACTTTGGCCCAACACACAGAATGTAGAAGTACTGTTCAGTTGAATTGAATTAAGTTCTCTAAAAACATAATATAATATAAACTATTTCTGCACAGGACGCATACTGATAAAAGTGAGTGGTTTATAAGTTACAGAACTGAACTGAAGCCTGTAATTGCTTGAATGTGAAGTAGAGCTCCATATGAATGCCAAGAACACAACAAAATGACTGGCCTGTGACCAATTTTTTAGCCTTGATACTTATGTGCTTAGTGAAATTTGCTAGTTTGATACTTGAGGTTTACCTAGAGTGAAGTTTTTATAATTATGCCTGCTTGGGCTTTGAGGACACCATAAATAAATTGATTTGTGTACAACATTTGCATAATGGTTCCAATGCAGGTTGGAATAATTCAACAGTTTGTATTACTACATTTGGATAAATATCATAAAACTTATCGGATAAAAAGAGATTCCTTGTGGTTTTAACCTCAGAACTATTAAACCAGATTTGCTCCAAAGTGAGATTCAAATCAAACTTCAAATCAGATTTTGAATCTCACTCTGATAACGACTGATTAATCTGCAGCACATTTGATTTTGATGTCATATTCAAAACAGTAGTTTAATCATTAATCACTGCGCTGATGACTTTGTCTTTTTACCCCACACACACGCGCATGCACACACACACACACGGTTTCCTTACTCATTAATTTGAAACAAAATAGCCTGAAGTTGTCCACTAAACTGTAATGTATGCAAATGTACCAGCTGCTACTGGGGAATAGGTCTGACGTACCCAGTAAGAATAGAAAGAAGGACCGGCCAACCGAAAACAACAATCACACTGGTAGTTTAATGCTGTCATACCTGTGCGATGAAGAACCCCCAGGTTCAGAAAAATGAACACTATCCACATCTCTGTACGGAGCGGTCATGGCTTCACAACATTTTCAGCCTGCGGCAGCTTCGCAACCACTCAACCGGCCGGCCAACGTCTCCTTCGGCAGTAGGCTCCACCTGTCCGCAGCGAGATGTTTCTCCACACGATTAAAGTAATGGAAAGGAAGGAGAAAGTAAAAAAAACAAAAAACAAGAGGTTTAAGTCCGAGATGTTGGTTATCTGTGACCAACTAACCGGTAAACCGTCGATGGTTTTCTGTTTAGTGTAACAATTCCCGTGCCTCAGGTTTCCGTCATGAGGAAGGAATGTGATCTCACTTGTTTGTGAACATTACACCTGTAAAGGTACCGTGTGTGTGTGTGTGTGTGTGTGTGTGTGTGTGTGTGTGTGTGTGTGTGTGAAGGCGGCGGTGGTGGTGGTGACAGGTTGTAAAAAACAATGACACTACAAAGCTAAAACTGATACGTGAAGTAGGAGCCTACTGAGTAAACACTCACCAGGTAAAATGGCATCTGTATTTTTTGGATGATTATTACTGATTAATAACCAACATGTAAGCAGTGTAGCTGGTTTAAGTGGAGCTTTACCCTAGAGTGAATGTCTTTTTAAGAAACACCCCAGAGTTTTGGGTCTCTAGGGTCAAAATATGATTTCCCCAAAAGCCCCCCAGAACCCAACTCTCAAATCACCCCTGCAGTGTCCTACAGTAAACGTAGTAGGAAATGGATGCCAAATAGTGTCAAGAGTAATAACATTATTACAACAGAAATTAGAGCTAATGTAATAAAACAAATGCCCCACAGTTGATTGAGACACCTTGCTTTGGTCGACCCTGTGGTGTGCTCAATATTAAAAAAATTAAATAAAGGAATGAAAATCACATAGTGAGTTCAGTGCAGTAATTTCAAGAAATATCAAACCTGAACATCATCCATATCAAAAGTCCTCCAAAGTCAAACAGACAAGATCAGAACAATGTTTCTGTGAACATGAATGTGAAATTAAAGAAAAAGTAGCCCACAATCCAACAGCTTTCTGTACTCCAACATGCATTAGAGCTTTGAATACAGTTGGAAGTGAAATTGCCCCAATGATAAATGTCATCTATGGTTCTGTTTCCATCTGTTTAATGCAGTAAATGGTTGATTATGTATCATATATATAAGCACATACAAAGGGGAGCGTGGCTCAGGTTGCCTCAAGACAGGCATCCGGCGTAAAACCCTCCGCCAAATCAACTATGGTGGATGGTGTTCTGACCCTTGACGGGAGCAGCCAGAAGCCAACAACATATAACTACATACATATTTCGCATATTACTTATTTTACTTTAAATGAAACAGAGCCAGTCATGATTCAATTTAATTATCATTATGTAACACAAGATTTCATAATGCACTGGTCAGCTTGGTCCATAATTTTGTGTTCACTGATTTGTTGTATTAACAACGTGGGCCTGGGATGTGTAAGTATACAGTAACACAAGATACTGATTGGGGGTCAGACCAGGAAACATTGTGTCAAATCTGTTTACTTCATGTTACCAATAAAATATGTTGTTTTTCTGTGCTTGACCTTAATCAACAAACAGTGCTTTCACTATAACCTTATTAGTTAGTTGTAAAATACAATGAAGAGCTTTTGTTAGAACCTTGATGATCTGGAACTCACGATGAGAACGTTCTGTGACATCATGACTGAAGAACTCTGACATCATAACGTTCACTGGAACCTGCACCTGCAGAGACTCTCCATTTCCATCCAGCACCCTGAACTGAGCACCGTCTCTGCCTTCAACACAAACCTTTTGTAAACCATTTGTAAAACTTATCTATTGTATATCTTTGTCTCAATATCTCTGTCTCCTCATTATAACGTGAACAATTACATCAGACACGTCTTCAGCTCTACAGCACAGTTTCAAGTCCAACTTCTTCTGTGAAACACAAACTGCTCTTTGTCACTTTTAAGGCTCTCCTCTGAGCTGAGATGAACCGACAAAGAAACCAGGTAAGATTTCTCATTTGTCAACAATTTCTCATAGCCGGAAGGCCCAGTTAAGAAATACAGTATGTTGAATCTTTTTTTTTGTTTAAAATATAACTATAATAGGATGATTTTATGATTCCAGTAAGGTTTCTTGAACAGAGAAGTGCCATGTTTTTTCTCTCAAAATGCCAGAACAGATAAGACAGATAGATACTCCTCCTCAGTGTCTCTAATCAGTGGATTAAAAATTGAAAAAAGAACATAACTAATCAAGCGAGTATGGAAAATTAGGTTCAGTTGTTTATATTGCATTTTATTTTAATCAAATTTGAATTAACATTTGAATATTATATATGGCGGGGTGTGAGCTGTGTTTGCATTTTGTCCTGTCCCTAGACTAACGTAGATTCAACTGTATAAATAAGTGTACTGGTTGTACTAAGGTGTGACAAGAGTCTTAAACATGAACTGCATATATGTTTCTATTTTTCCAAAGCAGTTTGGTGCTGCCCTGTACAGCCCAGCTCAGTACTGGCCAGCTGCAGTGCAGCTGAACATTGAGCAGCAGAATGCAATAGTACAAGGCCTCAGAGACGCCCTGCTCTCTGCAATCAATGAGATCAAGTCTCTAAAGGAGGAGAACACAACTCTGAAGGACAAAATGGACCTGCAGCAAAATGAATGGAGGCAGGTGGAGAGCCAGCTTCAAGAGGAGCTTCGTCAGAAAGACGAGCTCCTCAAAAGAACCATCAAGAAAAGGCAGGCTCACACAAAGGCCCACGCTGACGTCCTGGCCCTGCTCAGTCAGAAAGAGGCTGAGATGGACAGCAGAAAGGAGGAGTGGAAGGCCAGGTGTAGAGCACTGGAGGTGAGCCTGCAGGAGCGGGTTCAGAGAGAGGAGGACTGGAGCAGGAAAGTGGAAGAGGCAGAGCTGGAGGAGGAACTGGCTCAGAAGGAACAGGAGGAGACAAACATTAAAAATGAGGAAGAGAACAAGAATCAGAAAGAAAAAATGAACCTGCAGCAAAGTGGATGGAGGCAGGTGAAGAGCCAGCACCAAGAGGAGCTCAGTCAGAAAGACAAGCTACTCAAAAGGAGCATCAAGAAAAGGCAGGCTCGCACAAAGGCCCACCTTGATGTCCTGGCCTTGCTCGCCCAGAAAGAGGCTGAGCTGGAGAGCAGAGAGGAGGAGTGGAAGGCCAGGTGTGGAGCACTGGAGGTGAGCCTGCAGGAGCTGGTTCAGAGAGAGGAGGACTGGAGCAGGAGAGTGGAGGATGGAGAACTGGAGGAGAAACTGGCTCAAAAGGAATGGGAGGAGAAAATAATCAAGAACAAGGATGAGGAGAATAAGAGTCAGAAGGAACATGGGGAGAGAAATGTTCAAAAGGAAGAAAAGAACAAGAACTGATGATGAACAAATGACTGAGAGAAAAGAGAATAAGCAAAAGAAGAAGAGGGGGAAGAAAGAGAAGAACAGGGGTAAGCTACAGCACAACATCCCTCTTCCTGATACCCCCACCCCGTTTCCCCTTTCTCCCTTCTTACCCACTCCCCACTTCCCCATTCCCCAACCCTCCCCACCCCCTACCCTCCCCCCACCCCTTGTGCATATATTCCTTATTGTAAATATGTACATATGTAAATATAGTTCTGTGTGAGTTCTTCACATCTGCCTGTGTTTGTCTTTCTGAATACAGATACAGGATTCATGGCTCTTATCGAGTACTGCAGTGTCACAGTATTTGTTTAGGAGGAGCAGATCAGATTACATTTTCATTTTCCTGTCCACATACTTTTGATTATTTTTGGTTTGGGCTAATGTATAATGTTGCTCTACATCTGCTGGATGTGTGAACAGTGTTACGGAGTCGTGAACTACATGTTATTAAACTAGCAGTATAATCAAATGATAAATGAACCTCCTCAATTGCCATGGACGTATTTAAGTAGTTATTGTTTACAAATCCAAAGCTGACAGCTTTTTGGTTTATATAATGACCTGTGAACAAGTAGGCACTTTTTAAAATTATTTTCAAACAGCATATATTTAAATTTACAGTGAAATCTGAACAGTGTTCTGCTGTATTCATGTCATACAGTGTCATATTGTAAACTGCAATGTAATCTGGGAGAAAAAAACAGCACTTTAAGAGAAAGCCATTATGTACAGGAATCTACTGTAAACTGTCAGTGATATGAGTTTATTTATATCAGATATGCTGATGTAGGTGACATGCAGTGATGGCAACTCTTCAGATGACAGAACAGATATAAACTAAATATTTCCAACAAACAGGAAATATGTTGCCGGGGATGAAGTGAGTTAAGCTGTGGGCTTTGACTTGAGGCCCGTTTTTTTCAGCCCATGTTTGTTTATGCAATATACAAAACATGACAAACAGACAACAACAACAACAACAGTGCTTTAACACACCCCTATAGTGGCATCTGGTGGCCAACATGTGCCACCACTACCATTAGCCTATCTGCAATTCAGAAATTATAGCTCATAGGTCAGACTTTTGTTTTCATGCCAATAACAATCACTATGATATTTGTGAAAACTGTAATTATCATACATATAATTATAGAGGCAGAGCCGCCGGAAACATACAATGATGATTAAATGAAGCGGAACAGTGCGTATTCCGTCTCTGATGTATCTCCGGATTGTTTTTGATGTTGCACCTCTCACGACGTATTCACTCCGGTGCCTGTTAGCATTTAGCTTGCTGACAGGATTGTCTGCACTCACTGAAAGCGCTAACTGGACGTATTTTTATGATGCTTCGCTAAATATTGACTCAATTTTGATGCAGATATGGCGCTTTCTATGGAGACGCAGCTCCAGAGCATCTTTGAAGATGTTGTGGTAATTTGCAGCTTTATGAACTGGTTTTAAAGCTAACACTTGTTAGCATCTCAGACAGCGTTAGCCTTGTCCTCTAACTGATGCTGGTTTTGCAGATAAATAATTCTAACAGCATTTCTAGATAGAGTTTGTTTCTATGTACATTACTTTTTCCAGCTAGCTAAAGCTGTATCAGCTGAGCTTGTAATGTTAGCCTAACGTCAATAACGGTAGGCTAGCATTTCTAAACAATGGAGGCTTAAGAAAATTGTGTTCACAAGCTCTTGAAATTAATTCATGAATTCAAGTTTGTAATCGTCATTCATTACACATTTTTAATGCGTTGACCTGCCTATTTACCTTTACAATGTATCCAATAGAAATAGTAATGACATGTTGCATATGAAATATTATTTCACTTTTCCAGCCAATTGTGAAATTTGTTGTGATTTTCACTGACTGTT